TTGCAGAAAAGTAGTTCTACTACTGACATATTATCACAAAATCAAACATAGGCAATGAAATGAGCATCTTTATTAATATCTCTTGCTTCAAAGTTTATTGAAAACATTTTGTCACGCAACATCGAGAAAAGCTGACACTACATTTTCAGCTGTATCACCAATTCGACGAGCAACAGTATCATTTGAAAGAGGTATGGACTGTAATTGTTTTGAAAAATTAACTCCAAACATAGTTTCTACAATCTCAATTGCTGCTGATTTTTACTTTACTTTTGTTTTGGTAGTTAGTTAAAAATAATTTAAAGACAGAATTAAAAATACTCAATATACATTATTGTTGCATACATTTTACTGCAAGTGGGGAGCGCGATGAAAATTATGATTGAAAACTGGGTCTCGAATACTGAAAGGTTGAGAAACGCTGGTTCAGACATTTCAAGTTACGAACTCAGACAAAATACAAAAGCGTCCTTTTTCTGAATAGCCATATATTATATAACGTATATTCTAAACACAGGGTGCGTAGACAAATCTTTCAACAAAAAATAAGCACTTTTTTAAGCACTATATGCATTAACAAAATGCAAAATAAATATCAAAGACTTTACACGATCATAATAAAATAACTAGTTTCTGACAAAGAGCTCTTTTTCTTGACTATATTAGCCATTATAAAATGATCAAGAAACCTTTAGGTTCGATATCAGAGGGCGGAAAATGAAGCCTGAAATTGAGAATATCTTGCAAAATGCAGCAGAGTTGCAAATGAGAGTGCAAGAATCTCATCGAACCCAGCTCAGTCGACGCACATGCGGACTCGCAAGTATTTCATCAAACATGTAAAACGATTGATGCTTTTATACGGCATGGACCAATGGTACGCCGATATGTATTGTGGTTAAATGAATTGTAAAAACGTTGAATAGAACAATGTGGAAAGCACGCTTTTGCATCATACGTGGAGAAAATCGATATGGTAAAGAAAAAAAAATCTCATTTTCGAAAAGGGAAAATTAAGCACTTTTTAAAAACATCCAATAAAAAAAACACCTGTAAGGGTGTTTAAAAAAGAATATCGAAAATAAGGAGCTTTAAGCACTTTTTAAAAACGATACACACCATGAAACATATTTCTGAGTAAACATATATTTTATAAGAATATATTATATACAATAAATATTTGCCAACAAATATTATTTCTATAAACCATTGAGCCAGAACAAAATATCCCATTGGAACTTGTCCGTCACCTTTCCCTTTATCATTTCTGGTTAGCAACTCAAGAATATTTTGAAGTTGAACATCACCAATGTAACCATTTAGATTTTGCAAATTCGTTATAGAATGCCATTTTATGATTACTCAATTTTATTCCATCAATTCTCAGTTTTCTATCTCGATCAAGTTCGCATGTCTTTCTTATTTTTTTTATTGATTCATTAATTCAACTATATTTAAAACAAAGTATTAAATGTTTGAATTAAATAAAAATTTTATAATGTAATGTAAATTAGAAAATAACATTTAATTTTTAATTTTTTCTTGTCAAAGATGGTAAATAAACGATATTTAATTGGACAAAAAAGTTACTCACACTTATGATAATTTTTGTAATAATTTGGTAAATAAAATGTTAAGTACAGCGAAAGTTAGATACAAGCACGGCATGCAACAAGAAATTGGCTATTACGACAAATTTTCAAGTTACTAACAAAATTTTGTCCTTGAAGATCTCAAAAACATTTACAGGGGTCGGTCCAGACATTTTGTGAAAGATCCATTTTTGTAAAATTATGAAAAAATCACTCGTAATTTATGAATATAAAATAAACCTTAGGTCACATTCTTTCAACCAGGATCCTGCTTTTATGAATTTGTGCAAATATGGTCCAGTTATTGCGAAAAACTTTTTCAAGGAGCTTTTAAATTGTAAATAGATACAAGATTAGGCTCAACACTGTAAAACTATAATTGAAAAAATTAAATTTTCAAAAATAAACAGCAATTGCTGCTTCCTTCTAAACAGACACTTGATTTATATAAAAATTTAAAAATTTAAATCTTACCACTGTAGAAATTTGTAAGTCCAACAAACAATTTCGGCTCTACCTTCATCGATTAAAAGGAAACGGCTAAAACTAACTTTCGTCAAACATTATTCTTCTTTGTCTTCGAACATCATCGGCAAAAAAATTTCATTTAGTCTACTAATCCATTAAAATTATGGCCAAAACAAATTTTAGCAACCTTTCTCCTTCCAAAAACCACAATTGTAAATGAATTTGTAGGTAAACCAACCAAAAATAAGTGTACAAAACAATTTTTAGCTTTCTTTTTGCCTAGTAAGTAAAATGTTTCATCTTGTAGGAAATCGTAGTTCCACGTTGGTTTGATAAAATTTATTGTCTAATCTTCTTTTTGTCTTTCAGATTTTCCACATTTGCTTTTGCCACGGCATTTGAATAGTTATAGATGAGGACTGTTCCGATTTTTTTTTTTTTGTGTCTCAAGTTTACAGAGTTTATTCAAACTCTCTTTAGCACGTGTTGAAAACTACTAATTTGAAGTGTGCCTTCGAACGTCAATTTTTTTTAGAAAATATTTAGAGCTGGTAGCTTAGCAAAAATTAGCATCAATTCTCCTACCAATACAAAAAAAGTCATATGTTTTTATATATAGGAAACAATAGACAGAATTCTACTTCCAAATGTTAGCTCATTGTAGTAATTCGTGACCCAACAAAAAAATAGATCGAATTTTAGTGTCTTACTTAATCTACTTATAATCTTCTTCCTCCATTGTTAGAAAAAATAAGCAAACCACAAAGCCATTTTCGTTACATTTGAACAGCCCGAAAATTTCTGAAGTACGAAATTAAAATTCTTACCAGAACTATGATGCAGCGGAAAATACTTTTCTTCTTTTTCATGTCAAGACACGTCATAAAAAATGCCAACAACGCTTATCAGCATTTCAAAAAGAACAATTAAAAATAATACTGCTTAATTTACAGCATTGTTCATGCATTATGTGTATAATTTATTAATAATATTTTCCCCCTTGCCGTCAGACTAACCGTGGATGATTTTCCTCTTCATATAACGCAAATGCGGGCTAGTTCCATTAAAAAGTCAGAAAAGAAGGCAAATCTAGGAGTTCTCTTGTCTTCTGGACTGGGTTTAAAATTACAAAGCTACGGAGTTGAACATTAGTTGTCGTAAGCACAAACAATTGGGACGGCTGTTCAAGGACCGTTATAAAATAAAATAAAAAGTATTATTTATTTGAAAGAAAGAATAAATACTGCGCAACTTTTATTCTATGAACCCATACCTCTCATTCCCATACTTCTGTCTATCAAAGTTGCCCGCTAAGCAAAGATATAACTATTGTGAAACAAGCTTTAGCTAACTTTTGACCCAAAACTTTTACCACAGAACTCATGACTCATTTTAATAACTCGTCATCCTACCATACATCTTAAGGATCTAGCAAACACAAGTTTCAATTCAGTTTTTAAATGTTAACTCATTATAAGAAAACGTTGGGTGTTAGCCAAACAAACATTTTCGTTAGGCCGAAACAGGTTTCAGCAATCTTTCAATCTAGTAGCCGCACATTATAATTTTGAAACCAGACGTTATTCGATTATACAATATGCCACGTGAGTTCAACAAACATTTTCG